CTGACAAACACAGAGTGCGCTAATAACTGGTATTTGAAGTTGCTTCCAACAACATGAATAGGAAAATAAGGTGGGCTCAAAAGGGCAATCAAAGCCGACAATTACAAACAGCGGTTAGTATTTGGTCGTACAAACTGCAGTGATGCTTTTTAAACACCAATTCAGAGCCCCCTTCCGCTTGACAAATCTGTGTAAAACTGAATGAATTGCTGGTGAGGCTGATTGGTCACATTGATTGAGCATCACTGAGTCTTTTCACTGCTGTACACCAAGTCGTCTCTCAGTCGATAGACACAACCCAAATACACCCGGCACTCAATCCAATGTGTTGCTACATGGGCCCATCCAGCTAATTTAACACCCACTCCATTTATGAAAAAGAGTCCTCATCGATTTCTTCTGTTCATGTGCTCTTGTTGCTCCTGTTCATTTTCGTCATTCTGGGCGCCTACACGAGCTCAAGGCTGGTAGCAATTGAATTGAATTAGTGTGTGGTAAGGTTCCTATGAGATTGGCTTCTCAAAGTCCACACCTTCAGTGTTTCTCCAGATGTCGCAGAGCCAGGAGCCTGCAGTTACAGGCTTCTGTGTGACTACATTCACAGAGAACTCCACAGCACAAAGGCCATGAGCTTCAAAATGGACGCGTACTGCCCCTTGCTTTTGCACCACAGCAAAGAAAATGTTTTACTTGTTGTCCATTATGTACCCATTCCTCTCTGCTATTGCACTCTGTACGCTTTGCCCTGTTCTGATTTCTTTGCCTCTCTTGTCCTCTCCTCTTCCCTCTGTTTTCAATCTCTTATTGCATGTTCATGCTCCAGAAATGTAATCTAGCATTTAAGGGGAAAACAGCCAACATATTACAAATAGCCTTAGAAAACATAATACGGTATTTTTGATTGCAATAATTAGTCCAACAACAGCTGTTTAAACCCATTTTCAGTGTGTTTAGTCTGCAGTGGTAAAACACTGAACCACAATAACTGTCATTATAATCATAATAGCTTTCCTGTCAGGACAAGTCTTATCAGGCTGCCGACAACCACAGAGCGCCCACTGCCAGGTAAACACTGCTGCCTATGAAGGGAAGCAGTGAGGAAAAGCTACCTGGTGCTACACAATAAATAGTTTCTAGGTCAGTCCAGTGAAAAACTGCCCTACAGAGACATAGCATTTTTACATAACTGAAAAGGGCATAAAAGATTACCCTTTGCCTTTGCACAAGAGATACATAGGTACATAGAAGCACCCCATGAGACACAATAAAAAATGCATGCATCCTAGCACTGTCACATCCATCAATGGATACCTCCACCCTAATGAGATGGAATAGGTTAAAGAGAGCTCACTGATCACCCACTAAAATGAAACTACAATAGACAATTTGAATCTTCAACCCATTCTGATAATGGAATCAACCAATGCGTATCCATTTTGTTGCAAATGTCAGCAATTATGTAATGATGGGCTTGCAAATGATTTTCCAAAATTGTTACGGTAAAGGTTGGAACTAGTAGCGTTGTTATCAACCTGATTTTGAGTGCACTGTCAAATTTAAAAAAAAAAAAAAAAGCTCACAAACGGACACCCAGTTACAAATAAATCTTGCAAAAGGTTGTTTTAAATGGATTGTAGTTTGAAATAATCTACAGAATTACAATAACTCAATATGGACAATGAACGTCATTATTCAAAATAATTTCCCCTGTACAATGGACCATGAGAAGCCGGGAACGGCAGACTAGCTTGCAAGGCTTCTAGTTCTAATCGGATATCATATCTGTAAACCTTTCATCATCAAAAGGCAATGATGAGATTAAGTTTATCATCAAAATATACTGCGGTGCCAGCATATAAGTCCCCTGTTCTGTACTTCTCCAATCATTCCCTCCTGGAGGTTGAACAGACTCACAGTGGCAGCATGTGTGTACATTAAAGTGTGTGTTAAGCGCGTGTGTGTGTGTGTTAAAACTACAACAGAAAACATCTGGATATGCTGAATATTTGGGGGTGCAACAATTTTGACTTCCCATCGAATTATGATAATTATTTTAATATCTACTATTAAACACAGGCATGGCGCTTTCGCTGTGTCAGAGTTGATCTCTGCAATCCTTCACCTACTTGTCCAAATTCTCCCGCAAGAACAACAAAAAAGAAACATTATGGAAGAAAAGTCAAATGGCTGCATATTGTGAGCTAAATGTATGTAGGCTTACATTTATTTATTGTCTCTTTTCTATTGTGTCCAAAAAATAATTTTTCCTTGAATGGACATTTTACATTCTTGTGTATAAGAATTATAGAAAAACCTACTCTTGACTTGACTGATACATTGCATTAGTTAATAGATTATTGTACCAACTCCTCATTTTGTTATCTATAATGGTTTAGTGTATACTTTTTTTTAAATATATTTTCTGATAAGTCAAAACTGATAAGGTAACAATAGCAGACACAGTTCATTCGTCTGTTGAGATGACGGACAAAATAGAAAAGCCAATTTTAATCTCAAAATAGAAAATATAATTGAATCCTGGATTTGGTGAATTCTCATAGCCGTGGCACAGAGTCTGCTTTCCAGTGCTTTTTGAATGATGTTATTTTTTACCCCAAAGCCCATTGTCAACTGTAGAATAATGTGCTGCTATTAAAAGTCACGCTCCTTTTCATTTCACACCGTCCTATGCATTAAAAACATGTCCTTCACAGGACAAATCTCCATGCAGTTTCAAAATCACAATCCTTTATTGACATGTAGCATTCAATATGTGTCCTTTCCAGTATAATTAATAACCATGCTGGGAAAAATGGAGGCATTCACGAGAAAACCAAAAGCTTTCAACATTTTTTAAAATCCGGTGAATGTTACTCTCACATAATTCTTTGAACCAGCAGATGCAATACATTTAGCTGTCCTGAGGGTATGAAACATCATAGGTCATTTTCTGAAATTCATATCAGTGCTGTATCTTTCTGCTTATTTTCACATTCATTTAGTCGACCTTGTCAAAAAGCTACAGGGGGTACATACATATTGCACAAAGGAGCAAGTAACAAAGATGCAAAGGAAACATAAGAGTATTCACTATGGGGACAGAGCACAGTTACCCTTATTCATAAAAATAGTCCGTGTGTCTGTGTGTGTGTGTGTGTGTATGTGTCTGTGTGTGTGTGTGTGTGTGTGTGTGTGTGTGTGTGTGCACGCGTGCATATACACTCATACTGTATATGAAAGCGTGAGCCTGTGCATTTGTCGTATGTACACATGTGCAACACACATTTTTTAAAACTGCAGGCAAATCAAAATGATTTGGTTATTCTGCGCAAAGACCGCCAGATAGGTTCTGTATACCGTATTTCATTCACAATTAGCACCTTCAACAGAAATAATATAATCGTCAAATTCTGACCACAGTATTGCAAAGCTTCCCAAAACGCTGAACTCGAACTGAAATAAATCTAATTATGATTAGTGACTTATTAAAAGTCTGACGATCATTAATGCCATGCTAATGTATGACTATTATTCACCCATTGAAAGCCGAGAATAATTTTTCTGATGGTGATGTGACACACAGACAAGGGGGAAATAAATCCTTCTGTCTTCCCGGGGAGAGTGTTTGGCAGTAAACCAATTCCAAGTCTGGCTTCTTGAATGCCCAGATAACGCAATCAGACAGTTGCAATATTGCTGTTTTACCACCTGAAGAATTTGAATTTCATTCAGCCCCTTCAGAATAGTAGACATGCCAATTTTTCCCGAAGAATTGGCAGGACAAACACAATGCACCCCGGTGAAATGAGGAAGAGGCTTACCAGCAGAAAATAACTGTTTTCAAGGTCTTTCTTGCCTGCCTCCTCGGGTTCAATTTTATCATAATAAAACACAAAGACAAAAGGTTTAATTTCTTCCATCATAACAACAGTGTAAGCTGTTGATGCCTTTTTATTAGAGGTGATATTATTAAATTGGGAATTAGTTCAGCATAACAATAAGGGCGCCTCAGTTTTCATCATATGAACCCCTCAACATTACGGGGTCACATTTGATCAATGTGGATATATGGGAGGATTTGTTTGTACTGAGGTGATACATTTATTATTGAAGACATGATCCTAATTGGGAATTCAGCTAAGTTACATTTGAGGGAAATTTAACCACATTTCATTTTGTTGGGGACCCCCTGGAACATTCCTCAAGGACTCCCCAGACCCCTCTGAGAGCAGCTGGCCTATAGGTAATGATTTGAGGAGGTACAGGATTAATGGTGTAGTCTGGGACATGGGTGGTTCACTTTGAGGCTGTGCAGCTCGCTCTGATGCATTTATTCCTCTAATAGTCAATACTTAATTTATTTCTCTCTTGGATGCAACTGCTCTCATAAAAAAAAAAAAAAGAAGAAACAGAGAGAGGGATGTTGGCTAAAATCACATAGGCAACATCCCGGGACATCTCTTTTCCTTCTCTACTTTTTCTGCTAAGGATGCTACCAAACAATTTGTCCAAGAAAGAATTAGTTCATCACTTAAGCTACCACATGGTTGCCTATTTAACAGCCTCATTATCTGCCTTGGTTTTTCCAGTGTCGCCTGTCACATTTTGCGGAACTGAAAATGTCCTTCTTTTATAGGACAAGCAAAACACTCACATGCTTCCAGACCGTACATATTAATTACAAATTGCCAAAATCTATTACTGTGCAGGCCACGGTGCAATGAATAGGCCCACAAACGGGAGTCCCACTCTAAAATCCGACTAATTTAGAGCATCGAGCACGCATTTCAAATACGAAGTGACTGCTGTTGACGCACCGTAAACACGAACTCCGTATCTGTCAAAGCAGAAAATATCAATAAATAAATCTGCTTACACGCCTGAACACCTCACGCAGCCTGATACTGCAAGCCTAGATGGTGCACATTACATGCTATTATTGCCGCACTGGTATCACAGTATTAAGAACATATGACATGAAAACTGTGCTTCATTCCTACCTTGATTCCTCCAATCTCCTTTTCCTTAATTGCTCAGTGTGTCTCATTCATTCTCGCGTCCCTCCTCACTTGCCTCCTTCTGGTTATCACTCGTTTTCTCCTCTCTGGTCCCGTCTTCGTGCGGATGCATAAGAATTAAAAATTAATAGCCTGGTATCTTAAAGACAAACCGACGGAAAAACGGGAGAGGGGAAAAAAAAATCCACCCGATTTAAAAATGTGATAAGGCAGTGGGAGAGAAAAAAATCCTCACGGACAGAGCCGATTCTGACGAAAATGCGCCCGTGTAGGCATCAAAATAAATAACAGCAACGACATCATTGTCCTGTTTGAAAGCAATAACAACAAGCGACTTACTAAACGGTGACGGAGATGTAAAACTGAGGGGGGAATATTACCAGAATTGAAGTTGCAGTCGTGTTGTCCGTCCGTAGATGGTAAGCATGTGAGCAAAGCGTCGCAAAACGTCTGCGTAAGAGAAATCAGACTCTCGGATGTCTGATGTGTATCTGTTCACGGGACACGGGATTTTCAAATTGTAGACTCTTCGTCTTCATGTGATCTCAAAAAAAAAAAAGCTCTACGGTGTGAAGTCACCCGTTGGAATTAGGATAGTCTACACAGGCCATCTGCGGTTATCTTGTGCGTCCTGACGCACCGAGCGGATCACTCGTCTATAGTTTCCCTCTTCGTCGGCAGGCAGCGCACACTCTCATCAGGACCATTCACACGTTATTTTCGACCACTGCAGTTCTGCATCAGGCCTATTACAACCCAGCGCATTCATCATTGCCTTTTTCACATAGCTACAGTTTGGGAGCCTAAAGACAGTGTCAAGACAGTTTTTATAACCAACTCTGACTTAAGGCAGGAAAATTGTGCCACTTCTGCCCGCCCACTAGTTAAATTGCTTTCTCTGTATAAAACTGGCACTTTTTTTTTTAGTTGCCTAACCCACGTGGTTTCTCAAGGTGGGGTTCAGGAACCACCAGAGGTCCTTGAAATGGTCACCTGAAGAAGCCCTGCAAAATGACTGTTTTTTTTTTTTTAATAAAATATAGCCAGTGCTCTAATGCAAGTTTTCACCTGCAGTGCCCTCACTGCATTAACTTTAAAGGGGCATTTCACTGAAAAAAAAATCTGAAATGAAAAAAGTATACATTTCATAAGAGATTGAGTTGTTTAGGGTGTGACAGCATGCAATCAGCATATGATTGAACCTCCTTATGTAAGAGCTCAAACTCATTCAGTTTGATGTAATGACAGAGACCAGGCCTCAGTATTGGATGGTGATGTTTCAGCTAATATTTTAAGTGAACGTTAAAGACTTATTTAAGAAGATACAGCAATTTTCATCCTTTATGCTCAGTGCATTAATTTAAAAAAAGCCATGATTACATTGTGTGGAAATCATATACATGCTACCTTCCAACTAGAACAACTCATCTGTATTAAGAGACCTGTGGATTCTTCACTGAAGTGCACCATCTTGAATTTAAATGCATCTCAATGGGCTTTTTATATTTTTTCATTAGTTTAACCGTACTAAAGACAACGTGTCTAACTAATGTCAAAGCACCGATACTCAGAAGGGACAAAATCTTTATAAGATAGCAGTTTGCCGCCCCTGTGCACAGGCACAAATGGATTTTTCTAAAGATTATTTTTCTGGTACTTCCATTGACAGACAAGTTGCTGAAGAACTAAGTAGGAGAGCTGCGGTGGGCTGAAGGAGCGGCAGTTAAGGGGCTCTTCAGGATGTTCACAGGTTAGACCAAGAAAAAAAAAAGAAAATAATCTGAGGAATACAACGCTGAGAACAAGTTAAACCCCTTTACTGGAACATGATTAAGCTGCTGTACAGCACATACAAGATGCTCCATGGTAAGAGAGCGAGTCAGGGCATGACACACAGCAACAGTTTCGAGCTGAGTTGGAACTCCTAGCATTGAAATTCATGTTACTCTCCAGCCTGCTGAACTACCAGTGTGCACCTTACTAAGTAGTCAGGTTCCTCTCCTGGAGGTATAAATAGAAAACTGGTAAGAAGCCACTTTAGTCTTACTGTATGCTTAAACACAGTGGCAGTGCAGGCAAGTACTAGTATACTGAGCAAAGTAATTGACAAATCAATTATTCACTTTCTTACAGTGGTGTTAGTAATTTGCTATCTTGTTTTATTTATCTGGCCTGTTATAAGACACATCAAAAGGGTTTAGGTGCAGACTATAATTAAGAATACATCACAGTATATGATATACTGCATTTCTACTGCATTGATTATGTTATATATTTTATATAAATCATGTATGGTATTAGGCTCATCATATACAGCACCGTACACAGAAGGAAGCAAAGCACCAGGAGGATGAAATATGCAGTTATGATAAATGTTATAGTACATACAGAAATATTCGTATCTGTGATGGAAGTGTTTTAAAGCAACATTTTCTCCATAACAGACACATTTCCCTTTAAAACAAAACTATGTAACTTTTAAAAGAAGAGATAACATATGAATTCTTCCACAGATGATAAGTTGAATTAATTAGCAATAATACAAACCTTTTTTTTTAAGTCAAGACACCATTAGCTGCTACAACCCTACTTGGTCTAGTATGACCAGTAGCTTATGATGGCTAATGCCAGCTAATGTTAGCTTGTTGTGTAACTGACATGACTGCATCATCCACTGACTTTAAGGGTCTTCTCCACTTGTGTAACTGTAACACTATGTTCAAAGACATTAATCACAAAAAATACAATAAGGAAGCTAACACAATACCTTACCAAGAGACGTTTTACTATTTGTTGTCCTATTTCACTCACTTTCAGTCAGGGCTACAAATTATGATGTCTTTAAAGTAAGAATATTGGACTTGAATGGAAATTCAATGTGCTATTATCTTTAACAGCATCGCTGTTCAACAAAAGTGACATAGTATCACTAGCAGACTTGTTAAAATTGTCTTTTGTTGTGTCTTGGTCCGTGATTTTGTGGAGATTATTATGCTGTATCTGTTTTGAACCCACTAAATATATATTGAATTTTGGACACACCTTCTTTTTTTTTTTTTAAAGTTCATCATTGAGCGCTAATAATTCTGGATTAATTCAGTCTTTGGTCTCCTGGTGAACACAGGGTAGGCTACACTGCCAGATGAAATTATTCAACTTCCATATCACATGCAATAATTGCACCAGTGCACAGTGCATGTTGCAATTTTTCTCTCCCCTCTGAAAATGCCTTTGTCACTTTCTATTATGATAGCTAATATTGGGCTCTATTGAATGGGGCTCTACACGCCTTTGCCACTTAGCCTTCTGTCACACAGTACCTACTCTGTTATACTGCTCTCAAATCCAGTCAATTGACCTTCATGGGCCGCCTGACTCATTGCACCAATAAACAGCTAGCATAATGTAGTTTGTGCTCTATGGCAGTCACACACTCAGGCTTTTTTTTTTTCAAGATTAGATGTTATTCATGCAAAGTCACAGTGCTCAGTGTAATCACGAGAGACTGGGTAAACCTCATCACCTACTGTACAGAATGGACCACTAAGAACCAAATGTGGACAGATTTACAGCATCAATTCATGCTTTGCATAGTCTGAGCAGTTGTTCATCACACCCCGGTCTCTTAGCAACAACAATAGTGACTGCATGATTAAGTGCTGATTGGCCTACTAAACACAAGCAGTAGTCTCTTATTATAAATACTGCAGCCCCCACTGCTTGATCACTTCACTCATGAATAATACCATATAATATATATCATATCATTTCTCAGAAAGTCAAATGGTCTAAAAGACAAATATAGATATAAAGACTTCCATATAAAGCTTTCTAGTTGCCCGATACTTGGTTAATCAAAGCTGGATGTCATTACATCAGGTGGTTGTGAGATTCTCTGGTAACGCAGTCAGTGCAGTGGTCTTAAAATACACCATATACACAATAAATGGTTTACCTCGACACCTGCATACAAACACAGTATATATAACTAAAGTATAACAACACGTTTATTAAGATATTTTCAACTATACAGATTGCTGATGTGAGAATGAAATTAAGTTGCACGTTTGTATTTTAGTATTCAGTCTGGTTGTATTGTCCGAAGAGGCTCTCGAATAAATAGATGCATCTCAGAAACACACAGGAAACTATTAGAGATTTTGGATCGGATACTGATCAAAAGTCCAGCTATATTCAAAAATACTTCAATTTTTGGACACCACATCATAATTACTTTCCTGCTTTCGCCCCAAATAAAATGATCCAGATAACTGTTGATAAATGCAGTGGTTAAAATACACAGAGGATGGGAAAAATGAAAGGAAATCCAAGATAAGAGCCTGCCACTGTGTATCTTTGTAGTGGTTTTGTGTGGGGACGTTCTAGCACTGAATAAATTCATTCAGGCTCGACCATGACTGTGAAAATTTCAGTCATTGTTAATAACAATTCTTTTTGTTCACTTGTATTCCATGTTACATTTATATTCTCAATACAGCGATGTCTTGCATGATAAGACAGACTTTATCAACAAAGCATCAGTGGTCCTGTTTGCCGGAATAGTTCATGTTTTCTTCTAAAAAGGAGGAGAAAATGGACTCTACAGCTGGCATATTTTAATTTGTTCCAGCTCATGTTTGATTAATGCCAATTTTTCCTAGTCAGAGCTCATGTTTATGCAGCACCATTATTTACATAACACCTTGCCCTATTTGCAAATAGCTCCTATTTTCACAGTTATACAGCTTCTTGTTTTGCAGTGATTGACAAATTATCTCCTTTACCACAAAACACAAAATCACATTTTCTTTTTTTTCTTTCTTTTAATGAAAGATCATCACATTTTCCAATGTGTTGCATAAAATGATCAGTACAACAGTTTAAAATGTTTATTTTTTGGTTGAAATACAATTATTTCTTATAGTGAATTGAGGACTCATGTGACTTATAATGATCAGTTATACTAAAAGTTGCAATGCACTACTTTTTTTATATAATATTGGTGGCACATGTTTTCACCATGTTGTTATTTTGGACATGAATAAAATCAATATCCTATTTATGTAAAAATAAAAACATACTACTACAGAACCCCCATCACTGGGGAAGCCTTTGGAGTCTTTCATGCATGCCCCGTATATACAGTGTGGTGGCGTAGCAGGCTTGTAGGCGTAGATATGAACACAGTGGCAGGAAAGGAAACTGTATGGCATTTCCAGTAGTGAAAGGGGAGGAAACCAATGAAAAGGGCTTAAAACTCCAACAAAGCCAAACAGACATGTATTTGGAGCCAGAAAAGCGTTGGTGTAACACCTCAGCTTTTATATAGTAACCCTGTGACCGCCGGAGCGCTCTTCCCATCATGCTCTTTCCATTGGATGGATGTTCACAGCAAACGCAGCATTTCAACATTTTCAGAGACCACATCCATAAAGACACCTCCACCACCCCTCTCTCTCTTTTTCTCTCTGTCTGTCTCTCCCTTGCTCTCCCTTTCTCACTCACCCTCTCAATCTTGCTCTCTTTTTCTCTTTTTCCCCTCGCTGTGTCTCTGTGTCTCTCTTTCCCTTTTGCAATATGACATAGTCCATTATCTGCTCTTAGTACTAATTGGTGTATTAACGCCATGCTGTGGGTGACACAGTGAGAGAAAGGGAGAGAAAGGCAGAGAGAAAGAGAGAGAGTAAGAGAGAGAGAGAGAGAGAGAGAGAGAGAGAGAGAGAGAGAGAGAGAGAGAGAGAGAGAGAGACGCAGGATGAATATGGATGAGGCAGAAGCAGGGCGGGAGCGAGGCTCTGGGGGAGGCAAGTACAGAGTG